TACATACATACATACATACATACATACATACATACACACACATACATACACACACATACATGTATACACACACATACATACACACACACTCACACACACACTCACACACACACATACATACATACATACATACATACATACATACATACATACATACATACATACATACATACATACATACAGACAGACAGACATACATACATACATACAGACACACCAAACTTGTGGATTATATATAGTAAGGATACTTCCACTTTTTCATAAATTTTCTTCTCAAAACATTACATCAGGTCTAAATGAAACTATAACAGTGTAGTTCTGGAAAAACTTCCAATTTTGCAATTGTAAAGGTGTTCTTCCGAAGAAGTACATCACCTTTGTGAGTTCTTCGTTCGTTGAACAACTTCAAAAAATGAGATACTTTAAAGAGACGGTCGTCATCAGCATTTTCGCTGTTATCGACCGAATACAAAGCTCGTAAAAGTTTTCCGAAACGATTTCTGGTAAAGATTGAACTCATAATTGAATGACCACTAAACCGAGTGCCGGTTCCATAATAAAGATCAATAATCACTCAATGTGGGCATTCTTATTAAACCCATCTGAAGGAGTATTCCAAATAACATGAATTTCCCTCATAAACTTCGAAAAATGGTCACGCTGGACTGTGTAGTCATGTGGGCTGCAGTCGCGAGTGGACAAAAAGCGCGTCGGTCCCTCGCGGCGCTTTCCCCGCCAAACGTGATGGTCGTCATTAGGTTAAAGCAATGGTGTTCCCATCCAACACCCTACATCGTCCAGTCCAAGTGCGAGGGCCTCATTACTTTTCTTTTCACTTGACTACGACCTCAACCCGAGATATACCCCAATCAATGCCAGATCACCTGATTATGCCGATTTACAGGCTTTTTGATGGATCAGCCACTTCGTCTTCGTGTGTCTTGCGTCGTATCACACTGGAGACGATGCTCCTTTACCTTGATTTACCATTCATGTTGCAATATTTATACTTTTCCCTCTCCGCCAAATCGCCGCCAAGCATCAGTTTTAATTACAATTTACGGAGCGCTGTTGGGTATACACTAGGCCTCAATTAGCAGCTATTATTGCTCTTTAGGGCACATATAATCCGATGTATAAGCCACTAACCACGAAGTTCCAATTCAAGAACAAGATGATGTATATTAGTCACCCTACATCGCTTCTAAACAGACCACGATGACCTTTACCCTTATTACTATGTACCTGCGCATATCGCATATCTGTCACTTATTGAGTAAGTATTGTAAAAATGAGGTGATTAAAATGAATATCAGAAGTTTATAAAAATAATGAAAGGCTCATCTCGTCGCTCAATCATTATTTGACAATGTTAACAAAATCAATCGTTCTTCAGACTACATAGAGGAACTAAACGCATCTTGGATTAGAGCAATTCCAATTATCTACTATTGTGATTGATTTTAAATCTAAGTTACGTAACCTTCTCCCTTTCCGATGAAGCTAAGACATTACTGAAATCTCTGCTCATGAAATCGAATATTCCTCTAACGACAACAACTAAAGCAGGCTTCATAAGATTCAAGGGAAAACTCCTACAACTGAGGCCGTTCTTACCTTTCGGGAAGTGCGATCCAAGCCAGGTAGGCAAATGAACACGCATCATTGACAGCGAACAAAAACAGAAAATACGAGAACACAAAGCAATGGGTACTCTGTAAACTGCACTACACCTCTTTCTTGCTTGCGTTCTTGCTTAAAACATTCACACTGATGGCAGCTCATATGGACTGGCAACAGCAAGTGCTCCTGGGACGGTGCCAGCCTACAGTGCGTTTCATAATTATAAGGTCACCCTCAATTTTTGCACTTTCAAAGAAGTAATCATTGAGGATTTTTTCTAGCATCATGAACAGATTCCCCAGCACGAATAACCTAGGTATCTGTCGCTTAGCCGCTGCTGCATTCTTCTGAACTTTTTTAAAACAGTTTATCGGTTTTTGCACCGTTTCATAATTATAAGGTCACCCTGAGAAAGTGAACAATTAGTAACGAAAGAGAGGAAATTTCGTGTTTGAAGATACTTGTAAAGGTAAGCATGTGTAGCAAAGGCATTTCTAAACCTGATTGTCAACATTGTTCGTGGTC